TTTTGTGACTAATGTTGTCTTATATAAAAAAGAAGACATAACTTCGAATCAACTCTTGGTGAGCTTTTTCCTTCTTTGCAGACAAATTACAATACATATAAAGTATTAGACAAGTGAGAGTAAAGCAAGAGAGATTACATACATATAAATATATATGGTAAATGATGTAATACAATTTTAAAGGAAGTGAATTTCAATGTATTGTCTTGATTTAAATGTAGACTAATTATAATTATAATAAGGTATGTATCTTGTTTGATATATTTAACAAGAAAAGTGTACAAATTAATTTATTTAGTTCAACTTATACTTTTGTTTACAATATTATTTTTGTTACAGAAGTTTTATGTGTAACATAGTATCTATGATACATTATTTATTAGAATGGATGACATGAATTCTAATTTTCTGATATTACAACGACATAGAAATTATTTTCTATCTGCCACACTATACTACAATAATGTGAAAATACCAACATTTATATTACCATCAAGATACTCAATCAACATTATATACTCAGACTAGATCACGTAAAACTGATATATGATTCAAATATATGATCAAATATAGAGAACCAGAGTATAAACATGACAATACTTTATTCATTACAAGTACAAGCAGACGATACTTACTGAGTCTATTGTAGAAATCAATAGTAATAAAAAAATCACAAATTGAATTGTTAGTAATCTATGTTTGTCAGTTTACTCTTAGTGGCCAATCAAATTTACTTTCACTAGTTACATATCATTCTCTTACAATTCTTTGATGATAAATACTTTCAAATTGTCACATTCATTTGATAGAACTAATAAATAACGAATTTTAATGTTAGTTATTAGATAGTAAGTAAATGAAGACAAATTAATTATTGATCTTATTGGTTAGAGTAGATGTAATACATGATTAGTTATAATATGCCCTTTAGAGTAAAAGAATGTTGTAGACATTTCAAAAACGCTCGGATTAAAATATTTCATATTCACTTATAAAGTTGCTTAGCTATTGATCTTAGCATTTTTTTAAAAGAAATATGGACTTCTTGACCAAAGGCTAATGAAAAGGAAACTGGAATTATTTTTTTGGAAGTATGTGATTAAGAATCAGTTGGAGTAGTTTAAATATGTTCAATACTTGAATAGTTCTAAACGTTTCCTACTCTGTTATCCTATGCCTTCAATTCTTTGTTGTTTGTACGCTTTAGAAGTCTCCTCTTTCGACATTTTTTCTAATGTTATCTGTATCTTTTCCTCTTTTTTTGACAATGTCCCCTATAGTCCATTCACTGAGTTGTAGTTTGAGAAGGTAGACTATATTAAGATCTAATTTTTTCATGACTACTCATTTTATAAAAAAAACTTTAAAATGAAAATTTAACGGGTTGTAGATTCAGCGCGTATTTAACTGCTGTTTCGTCAGCAATTGGACTATTCCGAACAAAGTTTGTTCCAGATTTGCACACATCCGTTTTCCCACTAAACTTTTAACATGATGTTTAGTCATACTACCCAGTTCTTTGATATAGTATAAGTAATATGTGGTTTAGAACTTGTTACTTGGTGGATAAACGTCAATTCATCATTTCACTCTTTAGATAAGCGTAAACTGAATACACGTATTTTGATTTAAAGAACGGTTTGTGCTTACTTTGAAGTTACATTGGATCTAATAAAATTATACATGCAAGTTAATCTTATTTTCTCTGCACTGTTTAGCAACTTTGTATAATGTTGTGATTGAGATAAAAACGCTTTGACTTTTGATAACCTGTTACTCTCACTTAAAATAAACTCATGATATTAATTTGCAGTGAAGTATGGAAACATTCAAAGATGTGTAACGCGTAAGAAAAAAAGTTTTTAACTATTAATTATTTACATATGGTCCACAATTAAAGGACTGGATTTTGCTAGAAGACTTGAGAGCAAGAGAGTTACTTTATCCTACGATAAAACCCTCCAATCATGAATCAGACTCAAGACTTTTAGTCATTATAAATCACAGAGATGAATTAATGGTCGAAAACTCTAAAGGTTAAGTACACTTTATGTGGCCAGGACGATAGAATTAACCATATCTTCTTGTCTGTTAATGATTGTCTGGCTACAGTTTATACTATAAATCACTATCAAATTGAACAATTTTCACAAAACTTTTATAACACTAATAAACGTGATTTAATTAATCAAATCAAATGTAGATGTTGGAATTTATTCTCAAAGATCTTAAAGAAAATAGTTTATCCCGTCATCTAAATTTTATGATGATTTTCGATTCCATAACAATTTTGTGACTCAAACAATTTTCCTTTAAATTGATATCATGTGTGGTTGAATGTTAGACCACCATTAAAAGCCTGGAAGCACTTGACAGCCATTTTGTCCCAGTATGGAACTCCTCAGCAGTGCGCACCCACTACTCCCACACAGGACTCGAACCCAGAACCTTCGGCCTCACGCGCGAACACTTAACATTTAGACGGCCAAGCCGGTGATGACCTATTCATGATATCAATCTAAACTCAAATCTCCACAACCATATACTGACAATCTTCCTTCAAAAATTCAACGAAATAAGAAAAGCCATAATAACATGATGATATAGTTCCACTTATTATTTCTCAGTTTCTATACTGTTTATTTTTTAACGACTGATGTACGCAATAAATCATTTATATAAAAATTATATTTGAAATAATTGATTTTGATTGTTATCTCGAAGAACAGGCACGTTTGTTGGACGAAACGATGAAATGATTTATATTTCAATCGCTGAGATTATTTCAAATATAGTTTTAACACATAGTATCTTCTCTATACGCGGCGCCTAATTTCTGTCAAACTACTCGTTCTAATATTGACGAATATTCGTACAAATGAATAATTTATGATAGATTATGAAAAACTCTTTGATTTTCCAACTACCAAGTTTCAAATTTACTGAACTGGCTTTCTTATTTTTTTTACCATGTCTTATGCTAACTCATATCCAACTAATCAGTCTATTAATCCTTTACCTGCTCAATCATACACTCATTGTTCGATCAAAAACTTAACAATCTCCACAACCCCACACTGATAAATACTATACCAGTCAATTTAGTGCGTTTAATGATAACATGGAAGATGTAAGCATAAAGTGTTTGAATACGTTATCAATGAATGTATGTGTTTGTGTTCATAAATTCGATTATTCTTGAGCTAGATAATGGATGGTTCACATAAAATTTTGATTGTTTTTCGGTCATTACATTTGTATAGGCTTGTTGATATCATCTGTGCAAAGTTATTATTGTTTACTGGTCAATAAATGTCCAGTATTATATTATTTAAGAGGTTATTTTTGATAAAAATCAAACAACGGGTTTTAGCTTCTAATCAGTGAATATATGCACAGTTATGTAGTAATTTTTGCTCGGTTGTTTGAGTCTTCCCATTGATGCTTAGGATTGCAATTGATCAATCTTTTATTGGTATATGTGCATGGATGCGCGTTTCTTCCTGTTGGAGACTCGTCAGCCAGATGTACCTGCATCCCAAACTTGATGTTCACTCCGGGACTCAAACCCAGTAGCGTTAGCGATGGTTTTTAAAGTGAAAGGTACTGGGTTTGAGTCCCCGAGTGAATATCAACTCTGAGGCGAAGGTACATTTGGTTGACGATTCTCCAACAGGAAGAAACGTGCATCTTGGATTTCACTGCTAGTCACCATCCATCCCTGCTTACAATTATGCAATATTTTTAGTTGTCCACAATTATCTAATTGAATGGTGAAAATTACAGTTTTGGTTATTTGATTTTCAAAAATATAAATGAAGCAATGTGAACACAAACAACATATTTGTCTGTTTATAACTTATTTTCAATTGGTTCACTTTAATTCTATTGAATGAAGTTGTGAACAAGGAATAATTTTAACACAAGGCAGTTGCCGGAAAAAGTGTTTATCAATACATATATAAGCGTTTATGTAAGAATCACGTAGGAAAAATTCAGTATATACACGGTTAGCTTGTGAAACTATATGATCATCTAGAGACATTCTCAAGCTCTGATTAGTTAAAAAAAGAAACAAATCAGTTTGATGTATCATACAATAATCGTTGTGACTTATTCGTTACAAATTGATCTTAGTAAAAATTTTCTATAAAGTGATTGAATTTTATGGGGTAAATTATAAAACGTTAGATAATCGAGGAAAATAACCGTAATTACCTCGATCCTGGATTCGTGCTTATTAACGTCCGATAACACCGTTGTCATGCTATTAACCGCTTCTGCCATTCACGGAAGGATAACCATCATTTAAAAAATTAAACGACAGTTAAACTATATATTTACTTTTTATGTAGTGGCTATTGAATACTCAACACAAAACTGGTATTTCCTGGTTTGCCGTAAGCATCCTTATTTTCTTCGGCTGTGAGAATGTCCGGGCCTGCTACTGATATGTACACTTCCTATTTGTATGCTTCGACCAGCTGCTTGAGTCGGAAGACCGTGAATAAGTATGAAGCTTTTATTGGTTAACTGAATCAAAAATACATGCGAAATTCATTTATGACTATAGATACACTTCTCACAGAAAATAAGGTCACGTTTAATCAACAGTGTAGGTATATTCCTTTAGAATGTGAAGCCAAATCTTGATCATTTGCGTGGGCCCGTTAGCAAGTCGACCGACTGTAATTAAAAGTTGTGTAACTATGTCAGTCTTAACCCTAAGAGTTCATTAATAACCTCTCTAACTATGAATATCACTTTCCTTATGATTAAAGGTAAACTTTGCCGGTAACAGTACTGCCTAGCACAAAAACTAGATACAGAGATGTGTCGATTAATTTCAACCACTTAACATCCAAACAAATTTTACGTTCATTTTGCAGTAAATTCGAAGTATTGTCAACTTTTTTTATTCCTCTACTTTTTTATATCGTCATTGTCATCATGGTCAAATTTCTAATCCAAATAATTCTTTTTTATTCCTTGATATTCAGATTTACAAAGAACCAAAAATTCATCATGTAGACGTATTCGATATCAATCAAATTCATTTAATTCATTTGCTTGTGAACAATGTGAACAAATGGCTGGGACAATACAATTATTTTATTTGTATGAAGATAAAAATTCAAAGAATATGTACAACCTTGATAATTCAAAAGAAGACGTAAAGAAATCACAAACAGCTGAAAGAATGGTCGATAAAATTCACCTTAGTTTTATAGATCATCCAGTTGGACATGTAAAGGTATGAATGTTACGGATATGATGAAATTAAATGTTCATAATTTAGTTGGGCTATTCTTAAAGATTGGTTAAATATTGAAATTAAATTTTGTAATAGACTGATGTTAGTTGGATCGCTGAATAGCTTGCTTGTTGTAGTTTGTGATACTTTATCATTGCGCACAAATGTTTTTAGCCCGCTCAACCAAACAGTAGTCACGTGCTCACTTGTGACTAGATTTAATGGTTGATATTTTACAATTTTAGTGAAAGGCTGGAATTGGTAGAGTTCAACCATCTATAGAGTAAGAATTATATCACCGATTTTAATTTTTCTTATCGCGTAACAGTGGTAAAAACAATGTAAAGTCTTATAAATTTTAACAGAACAATGAGAAGACGGAGTTTATCTAAAAAAAATTATGCATTTGCGCTTTTGCTCAAAATGTATGTGGCAAATACATCACATTTTTTGACAAACTCCGTCTTCTTATTGTTCTGTCGAAAAATAATACAGTCGACATAGTATAATTAAGTTTAAATGTACTTTATAAGTGATTTTTCGTTATTCTAAAAATTTTATGCTCAGTGATACTCGGTACAGAGACAAGCCTACATTTCACCAAGGAATTGCATCGTACTAGGTATCTGGATTCAGTTCGAGCGAATATACTGTGTTAAGAAAATATTAGTTCACAATAAATGCCTGACAATAATTCAGTCAAATAATTTTTCATGAACACTAAATTGTTTAGTATATTTTTTTAAAGTTCATAATAATTTTACAGTGGTAATAGTCAGGGTTTTTATTGTTTAAACGGAGCAATGTTTACACAATACCGGATCAGATAAGGTATATTTCTGCATATTAAATTGCCTTTCGGTCACTAACCTAAGTGACTGGATGTCGGGTGAACTATTTCGAAATACTACGTGTTAAAGAAAGTCATCGGGAAATCATAAACCTAGGTCTCATGCTGGCCAATACTGACCACCAAGATGTTCATGTCATCTTGAGTGAGCTGCTGTTTCTTCGTAGATTCAAACGTGAGCTTCCTAGTATTACAATCTAAGACGTTACCACTGAACTATCCAGGTCATGACAATAATTTTCAGACACCATATATTTATCATAACAATACTAAAAATAAAGAATCAATCATTCGTTTCTTTAATTATTGAGAATCTCTGTAACACATGAATCAAACACAATGTCATAAAGTTTCATAAAAAATATTACCATAAATATCATAGAGGTTAATAGTTTTATCCTTTTTCTTATGTAAATCGGGAAGTCAAAAACGATCAACTATTACCGATGAAAACTCCATTTACGATTCATATAACTACATACTTTATCAGTGCAAATATTTTATTCTCAACAATTTATTCATAATTGGTTTGTAATTCGTTTCGAATACAGCCGAATAATATTATCACTATTAACGTTTAATTATCATAGGTTATACTGCATAGTTTGGTAGAAAAACCCTTGGAATAGTGATATCGAGTGATTGTCTATTTATTTATCTGCTATTTCAGATAAATTTTTATTTTCACAAGGTGTGTTGGTGAACATTGTAGACATTTTTAATAGTTGAATTCATGAGTCGATCTAACATGGACCATCATTGAGAACCTGGAAGTACTGGATGGCCGTTTCGTCCTAGCATTGATATAATCAATTTTTGAGAAACAACTGCTCTTATAAGAGCTAGTGTTATTACCTAGTTACCTAAACAATAATAAGTGAAACAGAATTCGAAGCTGTCACAAAACATCAAAACTTATATACATTGTATAATTCATAAACTGGTCTAGTCTGTTTTTAGCATTGTTAATTATTGACACTGATTAAGAATAATTGCTTGATTTTTTTGAAAGATTTTCAATGGCGATCTAACATTGATCGATCCATGATATGAATTGAAACTTGATAATCTCCACAACCCTATACACTGATGATTGTCATGTGCTGACTGTTGACTAAGTAAGAGAGGTGATTGTTGTAGTTCTAATGAGAGGTGGTTATCAGTGGAGTTGAACTGTATCTAGTGTGATTCATTTACCGAAAGAAGACAGTGTAGGATGTTCGCATGACATGGTTTGTTGTTTGAAGTTAGACATTAGGAGTGTTGAATGCTGGCTCAGTGGTGTAGAGATTAAGCGTTTGCGTGCGAGACTGGCAGTTGTGTGTTCGAATTCTGCGTGGGTGATTGTGTATTCGCACCACTGGTGAGTCCCATACTAGGATGAAATGACCTTCGCGTGTTTTCAGGTTTTCACTGGGGGTCTAACATTAATCGGTTCATAATCTCAATGAAAAAACTATTGACAGCACATATTAATTAAAAAAATTTGTTAGAATTACATGTAGAATAAATAAATACAACCCAAAATTTAACTGTAACATATGTTAATACCAGGTAAGTAAAAGTAAATAAGGTAAGAACTGTTCACTTACTTAACTCCGACAAAATTCGATCAAGACACGGTCATTAGACTATGTAGGATGATTTAGGTAAAAAAATATGAACTACTCTTTATATATATATATATATATATATATATATATATATATATATATATATATATATATGGCTTTTGTCTACCAATTTCAAATGTTTGTACCGAAGTATATTACACATAAATTCTCACCATTTACACACATGACTATTTAAAGTATTGTGAGGGTTTTAGTTAGCGTATAGCTTGTCCACTTGATAAATTTCCAGGATTTCAATGCGTCCAATATTGTTCAAATTTCATTGAAATCATCAACCAATCAATGTTCGATTGCCATAGAAAACCTGAAATCAGTAGACGGTCAATTTATTTTAGTATGGGACACCTCAGCAGTGTCTGTCCACAACCTCTCATCTGGGAATGAAATCCTGAACATTCGGTCTTGTGCGCGAACGCCTAACCTCTAAACCATTGAGCCAGATCCCAATTATGTTAATGTTTGACCTCAATCAAACCACGTTATTGCGCAGCCATCTTCCATTGTCTTCTGCGGATAACTACCTTCACCTAACACAGAGTGCGGGGTTGTTGATGCACATGAATGAGTATTCTCGTACTAGGATGAAATACCCGTCTAGTGCTCCCAGATTTCAAATGATGGTCCTACATTGGTCGGTTCTTAGTTTCAATGGAACTCAACAATCTTCATAACCCTATACTGATAATTATTCATGCTTATCCAAAAATCTAATGAAAATTTTCGTTTAAACAATTAAGAAAGGTTTATTCTAACTGAGGATAAATCAATTGTAGATAAATCTAAGTGATTTTAGTCTTTTTCTTATTACTTATTGATATTGACAGTAAAATTGCAGTAAACAAAGAAATATTGTCAGATGTTTTCTGTTGGTTTAAAATTGTGCAGTACTTAGTAATTGTGACTATTGAAGTCGGATGATGAGTACAGTAACGCTTAAACACTAGGTCAAGATTCAATATCCGATATTCTCCATTCTCAAACAGTTCAGAAAATAAAAATCTATAGAAATCTGTATAAGATATATATCAAAATAACAATTCTATATACACTAGTAATGGCTATTCCTGCATCTGAAACGAAAGCCATGGTTTGTTGCAATCAATCTATTGAAGAGAAAAACGGTTTACAATCAACCATGCTTGAAAATAATAATATTATATATTGACTTAATGTAAGTTGAAATATGTGGTAGAATAAATCACAGTTCTGTAATCGAATCTCTTGTGGATGTCAGAAAAACTGAATATTGTATATTTGAGCCCGTATATTTTCTAGCATCTGCAATACTAAGGAATATTAAACTGATGACGTAATATCTAATCATTACCTTTTAATTTCAAACAGCCATTTCAGTAATATCATTTTATGTTGAAAATTATTTTCATATTATTTTCACACAAAATAGTTCATTTATAATTAATTATATGCGATTAAAATTGATGTAAGAAAAGTTTTCTTTCTTTTCATCTTTTTTCTATTTTTAGAAACAACTTTGTTTTTTTGTTTGTTTTGTGGAACTTCATTTTCTCTATTTATTTTTTTGTTTTATTTTACAGATTAAAAATTTAAATAATTGGGATTTTAACATTTTTCATTTAAAACGAATAACTTCTAGTAAGTTTTATATAGTTTTGTATGTTTTCTTATTGTTGTCATCATGTAACTATAAATTAATCACTAAGATTGTTTTTCTATATTCTTGTTATCTAGTAGAAATAATTATAAGGCTGTTTCATTTTATTTTTTTATTGTTGGGTTGTTAGTTTGTTGTTTTTCTTTTTAACAATTAATAATAGATTACATAATCAGTGTAAAAATTATTTTATTTCAGAAATTTTAAGAAATGATTTTCTAATGTAATCATAAATTGTAAACTGAAGTAATATAGACTATATGAGAATTTATGGCGATTGTAGTATTATCATAGATCAACTCTTCGAATTCAAATGTGAAAATACCACAGTTTTCACAAATCTTGATACTGATAATGATTATGTGCTCATTATTGACTAACTTCAAGATGAAATTCCTGGAGTTCTAGTGAGGAGCCATGACCAGTAGAATTGAACCGTGTTGTATGTGAGGCAGTTATCCACCACAGACAATGGATGAAAGGTTGGGCAAGATCATGAATTATTTGAAGTTAGACATTAACACCGTTGGATGCCATCACAGTGGAGACCGAATATCCTCGGTTTGAATACCGCATGCTGCATCGTGGATGTGCACTGTCGAGTAGTCCCATGCTAGGACGAAATGGCCGTCGAGTGCTTCCGAATTTTTAATGGTGGCCTAGCTCAGATCGACTCGTGAATTCAACTGTGATAATATCGACTGAATTTATGAGTTAATCCATATGAGATCATTATTGTGTATATGGAGTTGTTAATTCTTGAAATGATAGAAGAATAATGAATAGATTCATTGAGATATGTTAACAATGAGTTTATTTCAGCGATGTTTTTTAATAGACTCCAAATGAAATTATAAAAAATGGCATGGAATAATTTACAATAATTTATATTCGTTCATCTAATCTGTTTAGTGCATACATTTAAATGACCATTATTTACAGGAATAGAAAATTGACTTATCTTCATTGAATTCAAATACTTTTAAGATTTTTTAGCCTACAGTATTAGTTGGATAAATGATAAATTATTTGGCTAAATTGTAGTTGTGTATGAACAAGTTTTTAAGTTACTTAATTTTCTCTTAGTGAAGTTAATTTTTAAAATACAGTTTATTTCGAAATAATATCAAACAAAACTATAAGTTATGAACTGTTGTGTATCATCGATCACTTACTTATATATCAATTACACCTGTTACCTTTCGTGGAGGAGCATAGGCCACCCACCACCATTCTTTATCGAACTCCGTCCTGATAAATCCTTACCAGTGGCCATTCATTCTTTTCATGTCTACTTCCGATTCTCGGCGCAGTGTGTTCTTTGGTCTTCCTCTTCTCTGTTTCCCTTTAGGATTCCAAGTTAGGGCTTGTCTCGTGATGAGCTTTGATAAGTCCCACAATCATCATTATTTATCAACATATAAATTGAGCATAGATCATGATAAGTAAAATAAATATGACTTTTATTTATCAAAGTAATTTTTCACAGGTTGAAATCATGAGTCAGTTGAAGCTAGACCACCATTGAAAACCTGGAAGCACTGGACGGCCGTTTCGTCCTAGTATGGGACTCCTCAGCAGTGCGCATCCACGAACCCGCTCCCTGCGGAATTCGAACCCAGGACCTACTGGCTTCGCGCGCGAGCACTTAACCACTAGACCACTGAGCCGGCATCCAACGGTGTTAATGTCTAACTTCAACCAATCCACGAAGTTGCGCCATCGAACACCAATGTCTTCAGTGAGCTGATATCTCACAACAGACCTGGTTGAACTCCACTGGTGACGGCTTCTCACTAGAACTCCAGAAGGTTCTCCTGAAGTCAGTCACTAGTGAGCAGTTGATTATTATCAGAATGAGTTTTGTGGAGATTTTAGTAAATTTCACAGGTTGAAATCATGAGTCAGTTGAAGCTAGACCACCATTGAAAACCTGGAAGCACTGGACGGCCGTTTCGTCCTAGTATGGGACTCCTCAGCAGTGCGCATCCACGAACCCGCTCCCTGCGGGATTCGAACCCAGGACCTACTGGCTTCGCGCGCGAGCACTTAACCACTAGACCACTGAGCCGGCATCCAACGGTGTTAATGTCTAACTTCAACCAATCCACGAAGTTGCGCCATCGAACACCAATGTCTTCAGTGAGCTGATATCTCACAACAGACCTGGTTGAACTCCACTGGTGACGGCTTCCCACTAGAACTCCAGAAGGTTCTCCTGAAGTCAGTCACTAGTGAGCAGTTGATTATTATCAGAATGAGTTTTGTGGAGATTTTAGTAAATTTCACAGGTTGAAATCATGAGTCAGTTGAAGCTAGACCACCATTGAAAACCTGGAAGCACTGGACGGGCCGTTTCGTCCTAGGATGGGACTCCTCAGCAGTGCGCATCCACGAACCCGCTCCCTGCGGGATTCGAACCCAGGACCTACTGGCTTCGCGCGCGAGCACTTAACCACTAGACCACTGAGCCGGCATCCAACGGTGTTAATGTCTAACTTCAACCAATCCACGAAGTTGCGCCATCGAACACCAATGTCTTCAGTGAGCTGATATCTCACAACAGACCTGGTTGAACTCCACTGGTGACGGCTTCCCACTAGAACTCCAGAAGGTTCTCCTGAAGTCAGTCACTAGTGAGCAGTTGATTATTATCAGAATGAGTTTTGTGGAGATTTTAGTAAATTTCACAGGTTGAAATCATGAGTCAGTTGAAGCTAGACCACCATTGAAAACCTGGAAGCACTGGACGGCCGTTTCGTCCTAGTATGGGACTCCTCAGCAGTGCGCATCCACGAACCCGCTCCCTGCGGGATTCGAACCCAGGACCTACTGGCTTCGCGCGCGAGCACTTAACCACTAGACCACTGAGCCGGCATCCAACGGTGTTAATGTCTAACTTCAACCAATCCACGAAGTTGCGCCATCGAACACCAATGTCTTCAGTGAGCTGATATCTCACAACAGACCTGGTTGAACTCCACTGGTGACGGCTTCCCACTAGAACTCCAGAAGGTTCTCCTGAAGTCAGTCACTAGTGAGCAGTTGATTATTATCAGAATGAGTTTTGTGGAGATTTTAGTAAATTTCACAGGTTGAAATCATGAGTCAGTTGAAGCTAGACCACCATTGAAAACCTGGAAGCACTGGACGGCCGTTTCGTCCTAGTATGGGACTCCTCAGCAGTGCGCATCCACGAACCCGCCCCCCGCGGGATTCGAACCCAGGACCTACTGGCTTCGCGCGCGAGCACTTAACCACTAGACCACTGAGCCGGCATCCAACGGTGTTAATGTCTAACTTCAACCAATCCACGAAGTTGCGCCATCGAACACCAATGTCTTCAGTGAGCTGATATCTCACAACAGACCTGGTTGAACTCCACTGGTGACGGCTTCTCACTAGAACTCTAGAAGGTTCTCCTGAAGTCAGTCACTAGTGAGCAGTTGATTATTATCAGAATGAGTTTTGTGGAGATTTTAGTAAATTTCACAGGTTGAAATCATGAGTCAATTGAAGTTAGACCACCATGGAAAACCTGGAAGCACTGGACGGCCGTTTCATCCTAGTATTGGACTCCTCAGCAGTGCGCATCCACGAACCCGCTCCCCGCGGGATTCGAACCCAGGACCTACTGGCTTCGCGCGCGAGCACTTAACCACTAGACCACTGAGCCGGCATCCAACGGTGTTAATGTCTAACTTCAACCAATCCACGAAGTTGCGCCATCGAACACCAATGTCTTCAGTGAGCTGATATCTCACAACAGACCTGGTTGAACTCCACTGGTGACGGCTTCTCACTAGAACTCCAGAAGGTTCTCCTGAAGTCAGTCAATAGTGAGCAGTTGATTATTATCAGAATGAGTTTTGTGGAGATTTTAGTAAATTTCACAGGTTGAAATCATGAGTCAGTTGAAGCTAGACCACCATTGAAAACCTGGAAGCACTGGACGGCCGTTTCGTCCTAGTATGGGACTCCTCAGCAGTGCGCATCCACGAACCCGCTCCCTGCGGAATTCGAACCCAGGACCTACTGGCTTCGCGCGCGAGCACTTAACCACTAGACCACTGAGCCGGCATCCAACGGTGTTAATGTCTAACTTCAACCAATCCACGAAGTTGCGCCATCGAACACCAATGTCTTCAGTGAGCTGATATCTCACAACAGACCTGGTTGAACTCCACTGGTGACGGCTTCCCACTAGAACTCCAGAAGGTTCTCCTGAAGTCAGTCACTAGTGAGCAGTTGATTATTATCAGAATGAGTTTTGTGGAGATTTTAGTAAATTTCACAGGTTGAAATCATGCGTGGATGCGCACTGCTGAGGAGTCCCATACTAGGACGAAACGGCCGTCCAGTGCTTCCAGGTTTTCAATGGTGGTCTAGCTTCAACTGACTCATGATTTCAACCTGTGAAATTTACTAAAATCTCCACAAAACTCATTCTGATAATAATCAACTGCTCACTAGTGACTGACTTCAGGAGAACCTTCTGGAGTTCTAGTGAGAAGCCGTCACCAGTGGAGTTCAACCAGGTCTGTTGTGAGATATCAGCTCACTGAAGACATTGGTGTTCGATGGCGCAACTTCGTGGATTGGTTGAAGTTAGACATTAACACCGTTGGATGCCGGCTCAGTGGTCTAGTGGTTAAGTGCTCGCGCGCGAAGCCAGTAGGTCCTGGGTTCGAATCCCGCAGGGGGCGGGTTCGTGGATGCGCACTGCTGAGGAGTCCCATACTAGGACGAAACGGCCGTCCAGTGCTTCCAGGTTTTCAATGGTGGTCTAGCTTCAACTGACTCATGATTTCAACCTGTGAAATTTACTAAAATCTCCACAAAACTCATTCTGATAATAATCAACTGCTCACTAGTGACTGACTTCAGGAGAACCTTCTGGAGTTCTAGTGAGAAGCCGTCACCAGTGGAGTTCAACCAGGTCTGTTGTGAGATATCAGCTCACTGAAGACATTGGTGTTCGATGGCGCAACTTCGTGGATTGGTTGAAGTTAGACATTAACACCGTTGGATGCCGGCTCAGTGGTCTAGTGGTTAAGTGCTCGCGCGCGAAGCCAGTAGGTCCTGGGTTGGAATCCCGCAGGGAGCGGGTTCGTGGATGCGCACTGCTGAGGAGTCCCATACTAGGACGAAACGGCCGTCCAGTGCTTCCAGGTTTTCAATGGTGGTCTAGCTTCAACTGACTCATGATTTCAACCTGTGAAATTTACTAAAATCTCCACAAAACTCATTCTGATAATAATCAACTGCTCACTAGTGACTGACTTCAGGAGAACCTTCTGGAGTTCTAGTGAGAAGCCGTCACCAGTGGAGTTCAACCAGGTCTGTTGTGAGATATCAGCTCACTGAAGACATTGGTGTTCGATGGCGCAACTTCGTGGATTGGTTGAAGTTAGACATTAACACCGTTGGATGCCGGCTCAGTGGTCTAGTGGTTAAGTGCTCGCGCGCGAAGCCAGTAGGTCCTGGGTTCGAATTCCGCAGGGAGCGGGTTCGTGGATGCGCACTGCTGAGGAGTCCCATACTAGGACGAAACGGCCGTCCAGTGCTTCCAGGTTTTCAATGGTGGTCTAGCTTCAACTGACTCATGATTTCAACCTGTGAAATTTACTAAAATCTCCACAAAACTCATTCTGATAATAATCAACTGCTCACTAGTGACTGACTTCAGGAGAACCTTCTGGAGTTCTAGTGGGAAGCCGTCACCAGTGGAGTTCAACCAGGTCTGTTGTGAGATATCAGCTCACTGAAGACATTGGTGTTCGATGGCGCAACTTCGTGGATTGGTTGAAGTTAGACATTAACACCGTTGGATGCCGGCTCAGTGGTCTAATGGTTAAGTGCTCGCGCGCGAAGCCAGTAGGTTCTGGGTTGGAATCCCGCAGGGAGCGGGTTCGTGGATGCGCACTGCTGAGGAGTCCCATACTAGGACGAAACGGCCGTCCAGTGCTTCCAGGTTTTCAATGGTGGTCTAGCTTCAACTGACTCATGATTTCAACCTGTGAAATTTACTAAAATCTCCACAAAACTCATTCTGATAATAATCAACTGCTCACTAGTGACTGACTTCAGGAGAACCTTCTGGAGTTCTAGTGGGAAGCCGTCACCAGTGGAGTTCAACCAGGTCTGTTGTGAGATATCAGCTCACTGAAGACATTGGTGTTCGATGGCGCAACTTCGTGGATTGGTTGAAGTTAGACATTAACACCGTTGGATGCCGGCTCAGTGGTCTAGTGGTTAAGTGCTCGCGCGTGAAGCCAGTAGGTCCTGGGTTCGAATCCCGCAGGGAGCGGGTTCGTGGATGCGCACTGCTGAGGAGTCCCATACTAGGACGAAACGGCCGTCCAGTGCTTCCAGGTTTTCAATGGTGGTCTAGCTTCAACTGACTCATGATTTCAACCTGTGAACTTTACTAAAATCTCCACAATCATTCTGAAAGTAATTTTTCCTATTTAAACAACAAATTATTGAACTTTTAGCTATATAAATTGATTATTATAATTTCATGGTGAACTTGTGTTGCTCAACATAAATCAATCTGTTAACAAATCAAAATTATTAAACGAACTCTTAAAATAACCAATGGTTTTACTGATGACAATCAAAAATAGTCTATATCATCGATTGAACATATATATCTTAATATGACCTTTCAGGCTGCTAATGGTTTGACCAATGCTCTTAATCCTACAATTAGATAACTTGACAGATTAACCTTGTTGACCTACTCAGAAATCATTGTCTATAGGTTATAGTCAAAAGAGCGGAATAAAACTACTCAAAGTAATCTATGTATATGTGACTTGAAAAAAATTCACATGAATAAAATGCATAAATTACAAAGCTACAACGTATCATTAATACGAAATTACAACAAACACCACACTAGGTTGATAAAGATATAAAATCAGAATGACAAGCTAGAAAATATGAGAAGAATAGGTTAACATTGACTCATCCACTTTAAACAGTTTGAAATCAGCGTTAGTTACATTGTTAATAAAAAAATTTAACATACAGTGAAGCTTAGTTTGAAGCTATACAAAAAGACATTGGAAACGAGAAGAGGTAATACTATATTGAACGTAATAGTTAAGATTAATTAGTATTTATACTATTCAATTTAAAGTTATTTAAGAAAAGGGATGGTGTTGTAAATGATAATAAACAGACTGAAAACCAAATGGTTTTTAACAACACACTTTAGTTGATATGAAATTCAAACATTGTGATTGAATGCTAATTGAACTTTTCAAAATATACAATACAATAAAAAAGGGTTAGGTAATAGACAAACGTTAAAACAATATAATTCTCCACCATTACAACAGAAGGTTTACCCACTCTTTTTCTGTAGACAAAGGTTAGATTGAAAGCATTTCATGACAATAGGCTTTGAAATGAATAGTAAAAGCGGTGTTCTTTGTTTATTATTTGTTTTATACGCCTTTGTGATATCCGTTTTGAGTCCATTATCTAGTAGATATCTAATGATTGCACTTATGAACGTTATAATTTCTTCAGGCACAGTTTTAAGTAATATGTTTAGAAAAACTCGTGGATACCTTGAAATTTAATGATTTCATGTTATTGTATCCATCTTAGTCGTCTCGTAGTGTTTAAATCTATCAAACGTTCAAAATGTGTAAAATACTTAGGCTTGTTACTCCCAAAGGAGCATAGGCCATCGACCAGCATTCTCCAACCCACTCTGTCCCGGGCCTTCCTTTCTAGTTCTATTGGGTTGCTGTTTATTCTTCTCATGTCTGTCTCCATTTTTCAGCGTAATGTGTTCTTTTCTCTTCCTCTCCTCCTTTTGCCTTGAGGATTGCTTGTGACACAGTTGGGTGCTTTCCTCAATGTGTTTCCCATCGACTTCCAGCGTTTCTTCCTGGTTTCTTCCTCCGCCGAGATCTGGTTTGTTCTCTCCCACAGTAGGTTGTTGCTGATAGTGTCTGACCAACGGATCTGAAGTATTTTGCGCAGACAGCTGTTAGTCTGGATGATGGCTTTCGTAGTTCTCCAGGTTTCCTCCCCATACAGTAGAACTGTTTTGACATTTGTATTGAAAATTCAGACTTTGGTGTTGGTTGACATTTGTTTTGAGTTCCAGATTTTCTTCAATTTTAGATATGCTGCTCTTGCTTTGCCGATCCGCTTGGGGCTCCTCTGAGGCTACTGACGGTCCCGAATCTGGATAAAGGAGGAAGGTTGGGCATGGGGTTAGTGACCACATCCCATAGAATACTAACTCGCTAAAAAAACACTAACTAGAAAAATATGCTTATACTTTATTTAGAAGTATAAAATATGCTTATAATTAATTTGAGAACAGAAAAAACATATGAAAATTGTTGATCAGTCAAATAACATCTTGCAATTAGGAAATGCACAAAATCACATTCACTAATTATCTACTAAATTACACACTAAATAAATATGATATTAAAAAATAACTATTTTTCATTCTCACTTATTCATCCTGTCTAAGTACTCTCTATTATGAGTCTGATTTTTTCTTTCCAGTGTCAACGACTTCATGTTGCATACATCGATTATGAATAGTCATATTGCTGATTTTCTATTATTCCTAACAATCATCAGTTTCATTTTATCGCAATTTGTCCTTAATCCTGTTTCTCTTTTTTCTTTCTTTTTTTAACGATAAAATTATAATTTCAGATTATACCATTCGTGATATTGGTCTACAAATAATGAATGAATATGATTTATTTCATAAATTAAAATTAGACTATTTCATGATGGCTAGAATATTCAGTAAGTGGATATGTATTTGTGTTCATGATTTTTTGAATTGTTTATGAGAATTATTATGAGTATAGGGTTTTGGAGGATGTTGAGATCATAAATTGATCAATGTTAGACCACTACTGAAAACCTGGAAGTACTGGATGATCGTTTCGTTCTAGTCTGGGACTCAGCGGAGCACACCCACGATGCCACATAGGGGATTCTAACCCAGGATGTTCAGTTTTGTGCGCAAACGCTTAACCTCTAGACTCGCTGGTGACTCAATGGTCTGAATCCTGCGTGTGGTATCGTGGATACTCACTGCTAAGGAGTCCCACACTAGGACGAAAGAGCCATCTAGCACTTCCGGATTTTCAATGGTGGTCTAACATTGATAGATTCATCAGCTCAATCAGAATTATTATCTATATTATTGGTGTTAATATTTGTTTGTTGTTGATATTTAGAATTTAATTTAATTAATCTGTTTAAGCTGATAATATGATATTGTCTGTAGCTACAATTTTGTTATATTTCAAATAGTGCTAGGAAGTGGATGATTTTAAGTTTTACTATGAATAACTTTGTAGAAACGGCTATGAAGGGAATACTTCGTGGTAGTAGTATTTAACTGTTACCCGGAGGAAGACCTTTTGACTTTGAGTATAGGGATGACATTGTCTTACTGTGCCATGATATGCAAGTAACCTAAATTGTACTTGACCAGTTGGAAGATAGTGTCTGTTAGTTTGGTATTTAAATAGCGCATTTGACTTGCGGATTGCTTCTGCAAAACTGCTATGTGCCCATGCTCACTCTTTGTTGTAAATCGTCGGAAGTAGTCATAAGGTTCGTGTATCACGGTAGTTGTTTTAATTCTTTTGATGGTGTGGAGGATGAAATCATAGCTGCTTAGCCCAATTCAGGCCATTTGTTTTTTGTTGTCATTATTCTAACCTGGTCGTAAAAGGTCGGCCCCTTAAAAGTAAGGATATTTTTCAATTCACCATGTTCCGTCATCATTTTCTTATAAGAATTGTATGCCTCCAGTGGCAACAATATGCAAGTAATGCTAAGGTTTGTCAGTGAATGTCCGGGCTCAGTGACAATAATTCAATTAGTGATCCATCTGAGTAGGTATTTAATTTGATCTCACTTACTACAACTTGTATTAATTATGTGGAATCGATAAATTTAGGGTTAGAGGTATTGTACATATAATTAAACTCAGATAGTTAAACATGATAATTATATGTTCGACATAGTCACTACATTAATTAGCGGCATGAAATAATTTAGACAAAATTCTACATAATGGCCTATCACGTAAAGGTTGATGGAATGATTATGGTTATGGAATGTGCATCGAAAATATAAAAAACGATTCTTTTTCAAATTATGATGTTAACCTGATTAAATAATGAATATGTATATACACAATTGACTTGATTCGAGATGGGTGTGGCTTACAGATATAAGCCAGTCACAAATAAAATAATAGTTCTCCGAGGATATTGTATGAGCTTTGTGTTGTTTTTAAAATCGATTAAAGTAGTAAGTTGTTAGACAATGTGAAATTTGACTCACTGAGCGGCCTCATGGTTGTGGGTTTAAGCCAGTTTTAGTAGACTATTGGTCATTTCTGAAGAGTCCCAGACTAAAACAAGATATATGAACAATTTTGAATAATTTCCCAATGAATTTCAATCATTTCCACATTCGAAAAAAATTAAACCACACGTCAAATATAAACCGAACTACAAATTCTGATGTCTTTGATGGAATTTTTTCAACACTTTATGGCACTGTCAATTACTTGTTTATCAATCAATCAGTCAACCAACCAATTGTGAATACGGATGATTTATTGATTTTTTGACCATTAATCAAGCATGATTTTCTTCTGAAAATTAATATGGTTTTCTATCAATGATCAGATTATTTCTATGTAATTAAAGTTAGCAAGGATTCGATAGTCACTTTTTCCTCGTTATTGTTCACAAAGAATTAGTCAAACTTCTGAAAATGTAATCTTACATTCTATCTTATTTATTCTAGTTATTTATTTGAAGGAAAATTTAGTTCAATGTTTAAGTTGTCAATGATAATAGAAAATTATCTGTTAGCATTAAATGTTTTAGGCTTAAATAGGCTCTGATGGGAATTGTAGAAATTAAAATGTGTTTATAGAAAAAACTTGTTCACAACCGTCATTTGAATGATCATGGTCTATGTAAAGAAAAACTGTGAAATTATTCATTCACTGAAATTGAAAACGCTAGTTTTTCGAATGAGTTTTTTTGAATGTTTAATACTAAGCAATGAAATGATCTAAAGAAAGGAATATTTTCATAGTATGCACGAATTATATTTGATCTATGCTGTTATTCTTTGCTTCAATATCCTCTAATCTATTATTATCATCCATTACCAGTTATTTACAATCACTCAATGTTTTTAGGAAATAGTGTAAATGGATTTCTCATTTTATATCCTCTCAAACTTTTATTTGATGTATTGGGCGTTGCTAATAGATTCTAATGCTTACGCTTAAATAACTCCTTCTTATAGTCTCCAGCGCTCATATATACATACACAACCAGGTATATTGGTGTAGTATCCATGATTTCTAACTTAATTTAGTCAAGGCAATTAATAATAAATGTTATATATATATATATATATATATATATATATATATATATATATATATATATATATATATATAATATACCTTGCGGGTATTTCACGAAATTGACTTCACTAATAGATTCCTTTCAGTCTTCTCTTCTTTTCCATTTTTTATCGTATTATTCTTATTCTCTGCAAATAAACAAATGTACGTGTTTGTATGTATGTCAAAGAAGAACACATTTTTAATAGAAAAAAATGTACTAAGATTATTTTATTACTTTGTTTTTGCATTATTTTCCTTAACGATGACATCATTTCATTATTAGTAAATTATACTTCTATGTTAGATAAATATATATCATATGGTTTGTTCTTCCTTTACCCTCTTTTCTTCATTTCTCATTCATGCACAATTCTATTTGACCCAAAAACAAATGCCATTTGAAATAAATTGTAGTTTATCTAGGTCATTTCAAGGAATGTTTCTACAAGCCGAATGAATATCTTTACTAAATAAAAAAGAAAGAAAAAAAAGTGTAAGCACGATTAGAATGCAAAAGATAAAATGATGTATAACTTACTATTTTTTGTGTTTGTATGTATAGACGCATGTGTGCTGTTGATCAAAACTGTCAGTGTGCCAACAAATATATATACAATGTTTTTCTTAAACTTTTCAATATTTTTAATGTTTACATTTTTCACCTTTTTAATTTTTGTAGTTTCCATTTGACAAGATTTTCAAATATCAGCTGATTAAGACAAAAATTTTAATATGATTATGATATATTAGTTTTCTTTTTTTTTTTTACAAAAAAAACAAAAAGAAAAATAAACGAAAGATTTCAAAAATGAAATGATTGAAATTGAAAATAATAACAGCTATGTTAGATTAGTTATGCTTAGGTTAAGTATTCAAGGTTTATAGATTCATCAACTTTCAAATGATTTACTAGGAATAATCTTATTATTCAGTGAAATTATCCACTTGATGGAACTGTTAAAAGTTTTAAAAATAATTACTTTCTCAAAAGTTTTACACTACAGTATAAGTGGTTAAAATCTGTTTGTTGTGGAAAGAGAATATTGTTTTCTAGCAGTTGATGGAAATCTTCTTTGTTCAAACTTCATTAACTTGTTATTATTCGCCTAAAAGCGTTCCCTTTCACTATCATGATTATTTTAAGTCGAAAGCGTCCAAATTTCAAGTACTGAGGTTGTACATTTAGGTCAAATTTAAATTATTTCTCTATAGTTAGTCATCGAATAGTATGATTGTTTTTTATTTAAAAGTGTTAGTCAAAGTTGACTATAAAAATCTGAGTCTCGTTGCTGAGTTATATGTTGAATTAGCGAGTTGATCTAAACTAGAATACCATTCAAAACCTGGAAGCACTGGATAGCCATTTCGTTCTAGTACGGGACTCCTTAAATTGAGCACCATTTGAGAAAATCTTAAAAAATAATATATAGCACTGATTATTTATTAATTAATCCTATATATGTATGTATAGTCATTAATGCTTAGCGAATTATCTCGATCAAGTGACAATGTAGTTATTAGGCTAAATAACTTGACGTTATCTGCATGTTATGTAGTTGAAAGCAGTTGATAGGATTCTAGGGACTAAGATTTTATGCTACTTGGCACTCATTAATGGAGCATAACTTCAGTCTTGAGGAGACTGGTGTTTCTTGGGTAATTTGAACTCATGTCACCCATTATCACAGATGTAAGGCTTCATGTCGTCAATATATACTTAATTAATTACATTAAAACTCATATGTTATTTTGTTTCAATTGATTCATTGATCATTCTCTAATTCAGATAATGCAAAAATAATAAATTTTCATGAATAGAATGGCCTCCGTTTTTTATCGTATAGTTTATTCAGCATTCTTACCATTTAATGCTAATCAATCTATGATGTGATAAAATTATAATGATGAAATCTCTATTTCATATTCATTGTTTAACTCGTAAATTCACTGAACACTTTTTGAATGTGTATATTCAATAAAATGAATTTGTCCCAATAGTAAACCTAATTCAATTGTATAGTTGACAGTGTATTATTGTTTGATGTTGTCGAGAACAATATTACTGTGATTATTATTCTTATTATTAACGAATTGTTCATTGTTTAATTTCATATTTAAACAACATAATTTATTCATTGACAGGTACAATGGTATTTATGTCAAGAAGCTGTTGTTGTTGTTATTGTTTAAATGTATGTAAATACATTTCGATTAGGTATAATTTATTTATCGATTATTAGTTGAGACACAACTGCTCTTATAAGAGCTAGTGTTATTACCTAGTTACCTAAACAGTAATAAGTGAAACAGAATTCGAAGCTGTCGCAAAACATCAAAACTTATATACATTGTATAATTCATAAACTGGTCTAGTCTGTTTTTAGCATTGTTAATTATTGACACTGACTAAGAATAATTGCTTGATTTTTTTGAATGATTTTCAATGGCGATCTAACATTGATCGATCCATGATATGAATTGAAACTTGATAATCTCCACAACCCTATACACTGATGATTGTCATGTGCTGACTGTTGACTAAGTAAGAGAGGTGATTGTTGTAGTTCTAATGAGAGGTGGTTATCAGTGGAGTTGAACTGTATCTAGTGTGATTCATTTACCGAAAGAAGACAGTGTAGGATGTTCGCATGACATGGTTTGTTGTTTGAAGTTAGACATTAGGAGTGTTGAATGCCGGCTCAGTGGTGTAGAGATTAAGCGTTTGAGTGCGAGACTGACGGTTTTGTGTTCGAATTGTGCGTGGGTGATTGTGTATTCGCACCACTGGTGAGTCGCATACTAGGATGAAATGACCTTCGTGTGTTTTCAGGTTTTCACTGGTGGTCTAATATTGATCGATTCATGATCTTAATTGACAGTTAAATTTTTGAAAACTGTAATCATTATTGTTGTTTGTTTCAGTTGAGACAATCTTCATTCTTCTATACAGTTATGTATGAGTTAATCACTGATATACTTTTGAAAGACTTAATAAAATATTTGAGATCGTATTTGGTTGAGAAAGTAGTACAACATTTTTAATTGATGTTTTTCTATATTGAAGTTGTATAATGACAAAAAGAAATAGACAAAGTAAATTCCAAATTTAATTTTTCAAATAAGTTACCTTTGACTAACATGTTTAGTTTATTTTTTCGATCTGGCGGGTAATAAACGATCAGTTTTAATTATTTTATCACGTTACTTCTCTCATTTACTCATGTAAATATAATTCATTTAAGATGATTGTAAATTGTTGTTGAGATAAACATTTTCTTCTAGTTATCATTTTTTAGTAGGACATATTTATAATCTTGACAAAGTTAATTATCTCTGTTGGATTTGAGCCGGTATTATCCATTTTCCCAGTCTGAAGTTCTACCATTAAGGCATTTATGCCTTAAATGACTACTTACAGAGGTCGAATATTTACATTGACTACTTATTGAGCAGTAATCAATTTCATATTTGTCTAGTCCTTGAAGCTGCTGAAAATCTGCTGACTGTGTTGCAGTTATTATAATATTATTTATAGTATTTTGCTACTTGTTAAAGCAAAAAGATATAAAGACAAATATATACCACGTAGAGTTCCCTCAGAAAATCAGCGTAACAGCGGTACTACCTTTCCACAAGGGACGAGTGAGGTTAGAAAAGGTCGACCCTAAAAATATACACCTCACCTTATCCCACGGATGTCCGTCTCCGTCGGTAAGGTCTCAACAAGTACGGAGATAGCACGGAAGTTACCCACAAGATGGTCGTGTGTGACCGGCCTTATTCAGTTATCTCTTGGGTACTGCCGTTATGCTCTTGGGTCACTAAGACCAATCCTAACCGAATTTCCTTTTTTATGCACCTCAAGAAGAAGCCTTCCACGTTTTGAGCAACCGGAAAGTTCTAACCGCCTTCATACCTCCAACAGCACTCAAGATACTTTCTGTAGAATGTGTTGATTACAGATAAAATGTACACTAAATTTCCGTATTTGCATTATTTTTGGTATTGCTACTAGATAAGAGGCATAAGTATACTTTCAACCCCATTTCATCTTATTTATTTTAACTTATATACATATTTATAACTATCCAGAAAAGGACAATTTATCATTCAACATTTTTGTATTCACCTTTTTTATTCCAAAAAAATAATTTAGGCTCTATAGAAGCAGCTTATCACAATTTCAATCCATATCATACAGCGTTGCATGCAGCCGATGTACTACAAGCAATGCATTGTTTTATATCACAAAGTCAAGTAAGCAATCAAGAAAAAATTAATAATGAATAGTTTATTTTTTTTGTGTAGTGATTTATAATATAACATTGTTATTTCAGTGTTTTGTCTAATGATTTGAATACAAAGACAAATTTCTTAAATATTTAAAGTATAAATGCTGTTTTTGATGAAATTTCATTTGATTGTAAGATACGATTATTGATAGTACTGTTATGCATGATTTGTAATAATTAACTAAGTGACAATTATAAAACGTACTTTCTTAACCACGTTGGATGCTAGGTGGTTACTACTCAGTGTTATTGACAGATGATTCAGTAACGCGAATCGAATGAAGTTAGACATATAAACCATTAGATGTTAACTGAATGTTCTAGTTTCAATCCCTAGTATGATTATAGATACACACAGATCAGTTGTTCTTTACTGTGATGAAACTATTGTTCAGATTTTTCTAGTTTGTTTAAGATCAGTTCGTGATGTAAACTCTGAAAGTGATTATTTTTTATCATTGAAACGTTTTTCCGTAGATGTTGGCATTGAGTAACAAATTGTACTTCTTTGTCTCATACATTTGGAACCATCGTATGTAAATGAAGGTTGAATTAGTATAATCAATAATCATGCACTTGAGCGTATGTTTTTCCAATTTATCTTCTGTTCTGTTTGATGAAAAACCCAGTAAACATTATGTGTGGATGATATGTTGGAAACTTGAATTGATTGTTTTTGGTTTAGTTTATATTATAGTAAGCCATCAAGAGAAACTATCTTTATGTGAAACAGTCTCAGTCAGTTATATGTATGAAATATGAAAATATTAATTATCTTAGTAACTTCTTCTCCTAATGTAGTTTATACTAATGATAGAATATTGATATTCATATTATCTGGATTTGAATAACGAGAGAAGTCTATTGTTTCATTAAAAAACAAAACAGTATTGATAGATGTGAATATCCTAGACTACATTAAAAGTTTGTGTGATTTTTTTCTCAATTTTCTAAGCATTTAAAACTACATATTTTATTGTAACTAGGCAAATTTTTATATAATTTTGAACAATCTTCCGTTTCCTAGTTAATAATGATTAAAAAAATTTTATGTGATTCATTTATTTATGTGTTTTATTTATCATTTTAATGTGTGTTTTATCTGTTCGTCTTCATTAAAAAGTTATATAGGAATTTGGTGAGATATATTTATCATTTTGGATCTAGATTAATGCTTGTTTCCTTTCTTAAAGTCTAATTAGTACTATTAATCATTTTGATAAAGACTAGAAAAAATGATATTAAAATTCAAGATAAAAAGGAGGACGAAAAGAGAATGTACCGACAACACTGCAACAGATTCTAGACCATAACGTCCAACCACTCCAATCATTGACTTCTATAATCGTGTAAACCCAAACCAGGTAGTCTGTATGTACCTACATGGTTTAGTTTAATGACCTATGTCTTTGGTTTCTTCCAGTGTACTCTTACCTCAGTCGATACATGCTTCAAGATAGGAGGTGACTTGGCATGAGGAGCACATTCCTCAATCATTTCAGTCAGTCAAATATCATTACCTTATCAATCGATTTCTGATCTTTACCTGGTCTGTGTTCAACCCCGGAATCGCTCATTCGATGGTTTCATTACATACGAACAATGCTTCAAAATCATCATCATAAAACCACTTAACCATGTACAGAATTTCTTTAAAATACTTTCTGTAATTAAGGACAACCGTACAAAGTGATTCTATTGTCTGAATTGTTTGTGTTTTCCAGTTTGTATGGTGTTGGATAATCTAGAAGCTTGTTAAAACATTAGGATTGAAAACACTCAATGTTCAGATTTAATAGAGACTTGACTTAGTCAAACTGAATTATTTCCAAAATATGCAGTGTATTTAAATCAAGCGTTAATTAGTATCACATTTTTTTGTTTGTTTTTCTTGTTCCGAAATCAATTAAAAGATCTATCTGCAAACTACCGTTAGAAATATTACTCCTGACGAAATTGTATATTATTATATCGATAATTGTGTAATAATAGAAAGACTAATAAATTATTCATAATAAATAGACCTCACATGTATTCTAACACTCAAATTCAGTTTTCTTTCTTAAAAGTTATTTTCTTATACTTCATGAACAATCATTCTCATAAAGTTTTTTTTTAATCAAAAAAAAAACATAAATCATTGTTTATTCTATTTTGTTTCATTATAATTTACATTCATGACAGTGTACAATACTTCATACATTAAACAGTAGATTTTAATACACTCAACTAAAAGGACTAATTCCTTTTTTTGTGGATAATATAATGAAAAGTAAAAGCTTTGGTGTAATTCATTTAATAGTCGGACATGTAATAATCAATGTATTTTGTGTTACAATAATATTCAATTATTCAGTTGTTATGTTTCTAGAATAAAAGAGAAATTATTGCTCATGCACTATTATTTATTGCAAATAGTTTAATTATTGATTCTTTTTGCAAAAAGAAAGCAAACGGTACAAAAGTATGATATCATCATATATATTTCCACTTGGTATTGTTTTGCTTGTATCTTCCCATTGAGGTTAAAGACTGCAATTGATCAGTCTGTTATTGTCATATGTGCATATTGTGCGTATGCCTTGATATTGCCTTAATTCACAAGCTTTTATAAACAAAGATGGATAGTGGCTAGCAGTAGAATCCAGGACACGCGTTTCGTCCTATTTGGGGCTCGTCAGTTGGATGTACCTGAATCTCAGAGTTGATGTTCACTCTGGGACTCCAATTCAGTACCATTCGCTTCAAACGCCATCGCATTATCCACTCAGCTACTGAGTTCTGATAGCCACTTGCTTGTGCAATGGGGTGAATTTAAATTCATTTGGTATTGTTTGGCTTGCATCTTCCCATTGAGGTATGCTTCGATATTGCCTTAATTCACAAGCTTTTATAAGCAAAGATGGATAGTATCATATATATTTTGTTTATAATTATTAAAATAATAATGTAATATACACGTTACACATAAACACAATGAACTTTAAGGTTGATTTATGTTTTGAAGTGTAAATTTTTTTAAATAAAAGAAGTCATCGGAGTGAATTTATCAAAACAATGGTTTAATAGCAGTTTCTATTGGTTAATCTTCAAAAATATGCGGTTATTTTTAAGGGAATTGATCATTATATTTAATATACTTTCATAAAATATGAAAACGATACATTAAAAACATTATTTGTACATCTTTCTTCAGTTGTTTTTTTTACATACGTCATGATCCTTCCAGATCTTTCGTTTTTACGATTGCTCTTTGTTTCCCCTTCTGTTCGTTCTAATTCAATCTTATACTGTCAGGCATTCCACTTCCGTTTGCTGCTACATGCTACTTATATATGTCAGCATAAGTAGCATTCATCACAATATTAACTAAATTTTGTTAGCAGTGAAATGTAGACTGAATAACTTGACATTGTGTTTGAAGGGTTGTTTTTTATTTAATTTCTGATCCTTGTATTAATTGAATCGTAAATTAGGTCAGGAATACATAATTGCTTACAATCAAATTGTACTGGAGACCCGATCCAATTAAAGTCAAAGTAATCAGTTTTCTCTTTTATAGCAAAATGCAAAATAATCTCATCTGTTGGTCACTTAATGAGCACGTCTGAAGAGAATACTATCCAATTTTATAGTAGGAATGGTATAACATAATCATAAGGATATTTCAGGCGCTTAAACGATTGGAGGTGAGGATCAATAAATAATGACTTTCTTCTTGGTTCATTTAAAATTAACTTAGATACATTAGTATAAATAAGAACAAACAAAGAAATTTTATTGAGTTTTATATATAAAAGATATATAGTAAGGAAATGATAATAATTCATATGAATGAGCTCCTAAACACAATGTATTTATGTTTTATTATTTAAAAAGCTAGTTTGTAAACTTTAAAGTATCCAGAAATCATGCCAAATCACTGTGCTAATACACGTACGCAATTCAGTCCCTTCCGTTTCAGAACTCGATTGTTAATCTTATACAAATATATTCTCATTAAATGAGGAGGATAAAGCTTTGAAGGTCACACTGAAATTTACTCACATTCAGTAGTATCTGTCTACATCAATTTTTGTCTCGTCTATGTATCTAAACTATTTACGTTCAATCCTCTAGGAGAATAAAGAAGTAATAAGCTCAACTGACAGATCTTTTTGCACTAACAGTCATTGATCTTCATTTACAACTTCAACGAAATATTGACTGAGGTGTAGCAATCACTACACAGTTAAATAATATATGTATGTAAGAATTCTTGATTAGCGTTTTTTCAGAAAACAATCTGAAATCATCGAAAAATCAAAGTTTCTAACATATTAGGCCACTCAGAAATCAGCCAAATGATAAGTGCACGTGATTGACTAGGAAATGGCTTTCGTTTCTAAACAGTGAGACATATACCAATAATAGATCAATCTTATAAGGTAGTAAACTTCCTTTCTTACTCTTAGACACTTTGGTAGAGTAACCAGTTGGGTTAGTGTATAAGAAGATAGTGTATAGAGACATCACATGATACAACAGTTTCCTATATATTTATTTGCTGTTGTTATTAATTATAAAGATGTTTTATTTATATTATTTGATAGATTTCTAAAAATATATTTATTAACATGCATTTTTCAACATCGCACACACACACATATATATACATGCATACAGAAACACTTGTAAACTATCTACACGCCTATAGATTCAGTTTCAGTAAACTCATTAAAGGAAAAAGAATAAACCTATTTAATACGCTTGACTTAATAAATACATGTCATAGTCTATGTTTAATTCTATGTAAAATTATAAAATTATAGTTTATATAAGAAAAATAAATATAATTTACACTTTATAATGAAATATACTTCCGTCTATATGTACGTGTGTGTGTGTGTGTATTATTGATGTGTTGTTAGTTGTGAAATAAAAAAAAGCATATGGACTCATAAATAAAAATAGTTTTATTATATC